GAAGGTCACTGAAGTTCAGATCAGCTCCTTCGAGCCGTGTCAACAAGTCGAAGAATTTCTGCACTCCTTCCTCCACCGGTTCGCCTTCGTCAATTCGAAGTGCCGCCATTTGCCGCTCCAAAATCACAGCCACCGCCGCTGTTGCAGGAGCGTGTACACCCTTGAGAGCAGCCCATGCCTTTGGTCCCTTTGCTGGTTCACGCTGAAAAGGCTTGATGTGACGGATTTGGCTGCTCCCCAACGCTTGCCCAAGTAGAAGGTAGCCTTGTGTGCTCTTCCGCACCCACGGGCTCTTCTCCGGGTCGTTCTCGGGGCGCTTCTCCGTTCCTTCCATCACCTCCAGCAGATCATAGTGGTCAAAGATGTTCTCCATCTTGAAAGACCACTCAGCAAAGTTGTCACCGTTGAACTTGTCAAGGCCAAACAGTCTAGGCTCATCCCTAGAGGGTCCAAGGCTAGGTTGCACCGGAGCAACGGGTGGATCTTGGCGTTCACCTTGTGCTTGGGCGGCTTCTCTGCCTCCAGCACCTCTTCCACCCCCTTCCTCAGGCCTAGGCATGTTCGAGACAGCTCCAAGGGGCTCTGATACCACTTGTTATAGTCACAATAGGCTCAGATGTGCCAATAATGAGAGATAGAGAGCACAGTCGGATTTCCGTCAGACGGCTTCAAATATTGATAACGATCTGCTGGCTACCTCAAATGGTGATCTGTAAGTTGGATCTGAAGCGCGTTTTTGTCGCCTATCAGCAGCAAGTTGAATCATGAAATTCCATGAAGATTTGACGACGCTATGGCGGTTTGACTGGCAGAAGGTATAGCAGCCACTATAGTCTTGGAAGTACAAACTTAGCAAGAAGAATTCGAGAGGGAGATGGTTCCCAGCCTCTACATACCCCAGGAGCCGAGGTCCAGGTTGGTGGTACACCACCACAGAGTCCCCAACCACGAAGAGTCTTGAAAGCAACCCTCCAAGGGGCTACACCAAGCAAAATGTAACATTACACGAAGTAGCATTATTATTTTCACTATTTAATATTTATCCGTGTCCCTTGGGCTTTAAATCTTGAGCTCTTGGTCTTGGATCTGCAAGATAAATTCTTCTTGAGTTTATGGGGGCTTGCTGCACACACCTGCGACGTGATGGACACTTCACACACGACAAAAATAGAAAAAACACATGCGACACACAAACGACGACTTGACATGCGAGTTGTAAAATCTCGCTAATGTCTTGACCGACACAAACAACATTGTGATACACCATTCAAACACACACACGAGCATTAGATAGCAATGACATAGACTCACAAGTCATTCCATGTCATGCATGCACACACACAAGCAAGGACGACAAGCCGAGTGCAAGCCTTAGGGTTGCACCAACAAAGTCGTAGCTGAGCAGCCGAGTCCAACCGTAGCTGTCGCCGAAACACCTGCCACGACATCAACAAAAGCAGTATCAGGGGTTATACTCGCACCTGCAGCAGCAATATCACAAGTCACGTTACCTCTTCACCGTTTCGTCGAAGGAGAAATTGTCAAGTCACCAGCCCTTTCTCCTTTCATTCATTCTTCCTTCTATACTAACTCCGATTTTTACCTGGGATCATCAGGACACAAAGCCACGGAAGATATATGGCATCAGCGACTAGGACAACCATCACAAGGGATTCTTAATCATTCAATCCGAGTAGCAGTTCTTGATAAAAATAGTTTACTTTTACCTGATGGCATGGAGATGAAGCCGCAGTCTCGTCCGACGGTTTGCACCACTTGTCCAGTTGCCAACCTTACGCACGATCCGTTTCCAAGTCATTTTCCCGGCTCAACGCGTTATCAACTGATGTAGAAAGTCTACAGCGACATACTCAATTTGTCTAAAGCAGGCCCTAAAGACGAGAAGTATGTGATAACATTTATCGAAGCGTCTACACGATATGTCTGGACAGCTAACTTACCTGCGCGCCATCTCGCTCACTCCGTTTTCGTCGCATGGCTCGCTGTCGCTGAACGGGGAGTCTGGCGCGAAACTGCAAGAATTTCAGAGTGATGGTGCAGGGGAGTACACCAGCAACACTTTTACAGACTACCTTCAGACACTCGGCATCAAACGGAAGCAGTCTCTGCCGCATGCACACCAACAGATGGGGGTAGCAGAAAGGATGAACAGAACACTGCAGGAGAAGATGCGTGCTCTGCTGACGCAGGCAGCACTTCCACCGCATTTTTTGCCATATGTGATGGACCAAGCTGTGCTGTTACACAATCTTCTTTCTTCAACGTCCTTGCCCGAATTTTCTTCTCCGCATCTGCAGTGGACACGTATATTGGGAAGCACAAAACTCTTACGAGTTTTCGGGTGTGTTGTACAGTTTCGTCCTCCAACCGCAGCACTCGGAAAATTTTCTAAACGAGCAAAATGGGGGATACACCTCGGCATCGAAAAACAGTATCACGCGTGGAAGATTTTGGACCTTCGCTCCCATCAAATCGTTCCATCACGTGATTGTCTTTTCTATGAAAGACTCACCTTGCCCGTTTTTCGTGCCCACCAGGCAGCAGCCGCCAATCCTGCCAGGCTGTTCGAAGGCTCGCGTGTATTTGCAACTGACGAAGCCGAAGCTGATGTACAGGATGAAGCAGTTTCTGAAGCATCCGAAGCTGCCGCAACTGACATTCCCGAACCTGTAACCTCGACAGGCATACCAGAGTTTATTCCGCTTGCAGATGCTGACCCGGCTGACGTTCGCAAAGTCCGTCTCAGTTACGAACGCGATCGCCAACAGCAGCCGATGCCCGCCGTCTCTGACGAAGCAGTTCGTGTTACACCTGACGAAATTGGGGGGGAAGAAGGAGCAGAAGAAAATTTCGCAGGTGCAAACGAAGAACGTCCGCGTTTTACGGAAACAGGATTGCAGATACTGGGATTTGTTGTAGCAGTACAGTGCAACGACAGTAAGATACCTGAACCGAAAACCGTCCGACAAGCTCTTACGAGTCCTCACCGAGAGAAATGGCGCGAATCCATGGACAGAGAGCTAGCAGCTCTCAAGAATCGCGGAACATGGGATTTAATACCGACTTCAGAAGTAAAAGGGAAGAAGGTACTTACCGGAAAATGGGTTCTTTCGCGTCAAGACAAATTCAGATGGGTCGTTTGAAAAGTTCAAAGCGCGATGGTTCGTCCGCGGATTCGAGCAGACTTACAGCATCGACTATGAACTAACCTTTGCTCCTGTCGGCCGACATACAAGCGTTCGGATTCTTCTTTGTGTCGCCGCCTGCCGTAATCTACGTCTTCGCCAAATCGACGTCTCGAATGCGTTTCTCTACGCGCCTGTCGACGCACTCATCCTGGTAGAGTACCCGCATTCTTATACTACTAACCCACCGAGCGTTTGCCGTCTCCGAAAATCTCTATACGGCATTAAACAGGCACCACGGCTCTGGCAGCAGTATCTTCACTCGCAGCTGATTATTGCTGGATTTCGACAGTTACCGCATGATCAGGGAATGTATCTACTGACCGACGGCAGCAACTACATTTTACTCGTCGCCTACATTGATGACATCCTATACGTCAGTACTACCGATTCCCTTGCCGAGACCTTCATGCTGAAATTACAGGAAAATCTACAGCTTACCGTCTCCGAAACAGTCTCACAGTTTCTCGGACTGAACATTACCTGTTCACCGACAACTATTCATCTCACCGCTTCGAAGTATGCAGCAACACTTGCTGCCCGCTTCAACCTTACACCTACTGCAGTCTCTACACCGTACCGCTCACTACCGACTGACCACAAACCGAACACCGCACTATTGACTTCAACCGGTTTACAGATCTATCAACAGCAGCTAGGCTGTCTACTTTTCGCCGCTGTCACTTGTCGTCCTGATCTAGCCTATGTGGCCAGTCAGCTCGCACAGTTCCTACGCCGTCCTGAGGAAGAGCATCAGCTTGATCTTCTCCGCGCGCTTCAATATTTTATCTCGACACCTGACGTCGGATGAGTCTACAACATTATCGGCTGTAAAACACTCTATCTATACGGTTTTGTCGACGCCGATCACGCTGCTGATTCTACTAATTGACGGTCACGCACTGGGTTCATCTATCGACTGGAACCTATCGGACCTATCTCTTGGAATTCTACGAAGCAGGAGCTGATTGCACTCTCCTCTGCTAAAGCTGAGTTTATTGATGTCTGCACAGCAACACGTGAAGGACTTTACTTTCAGGAACAATTGGAAGAAGCGAAGTTGACAACAACTACCCAGTTTACCCTACAGTGCGATAATCGAAGTGCAATTCGCATCGCACATCAGCCTGGTTTCGTCAACAGAACGAAGCATATTTCGCTTCGTTATTTTTTCGTCAAAGATGAAGTCGAGAAGGGGAGGATGCGATTGGTCTACTGTTCGACCAACGAAATGGCTGCCGATTTTCTTACGAAGAAGCTGACACGACAGAAGTTTCAGTACTGTAACAAGCTCTGCGGAATCTTCAAGAAGTGACACTATCGAACTTCCAGAAATGAAGGGGAGTGTTGCGATATAATTGATACTTAGCATTTCTGTAAGTCGATTATGTGTAGATAGTGTCGAATCATACTGTAGAAGATAAGTCCGTAGGATGACGTCAGCAAATAGCGCTCGTCATAGGACAGTCGTTTCAGTCACGCGAACAGTCGCATCCCTTCATTATCATCTAGGGCGCATAGCGCGATAGTGACGAACAGGTACATTAGCGAATAGGTACTTTTTCATAGAACTATAAATCTCTGTTAGGTCTTTTTCATTATTAACTTTGATTACTCACAAGTTCACGTACTCAGGTTATTCAACCTTGACCTTTACATTTTACAAGACTTCCGCTGTCTTACTAGTCTACCATTCTAGCAAAGATCCTGGACCAACACTTGAGGATTTGCCAAGGGTATATAGACTAGGGTGTTGTACCCTCTAAGGCACAATCCAGTATAGTCTACAGTAACAACCTAAGTTACATTTGACAGGGGGGGCAGAGACACATGCCCACTACCTCTCTCACACACATGCACACGTGCCATAGAAGGAAAGCCTCTCTAGTACCCTTCCTATAGAGAGAAGAGGTTCAAGGCTATCCCAGTGCCACGACAGGTTACACTATGATTCATAACTGAATTCACAGGGTGAAATTTTACACTAAACGGATTTTTCAAGTTTGGCACCTAACAGGCATCCTGAAATCAGGAATTCAGGATAAAACATCCTGATATCGGAGGCCCTGATTCCGACACACACTGCTGGTGCTGCCTCTACGAGCTCCCCGCCTCAAGCGCTGTCGATCTTGTCAAAGGACTGCAGCTCCTTAAAGCCCTCCCAGGGCTTCTCCCAGATGGCAGCCTCATACAGAGCAATCACGGGCGGGGTGGCGCCTGGCAGCTGCGCGGTGAGTTTGATGCGGTGCATCGTGCCCGCCACCACCTGCTGGCTCGCGGACTGCACCGACACCAGCTTCAGGTCGCTGTTCTGCGAGGGGCAGGCAGGAGGGACGGTGGGCAGGGGAGGGGGGGCCAGGAAGGGAGGACGGTGGGCAGGCGGGGAGGAGCTTTTGAGAAGCAATTGCAGGGTGGATAATACTACTGATTTCATCAGCTCGATAGGAAGCAAGGCTGATTCCTGGCCAGCATAGAAATCTTGACTCCTGACTGTTGAAGTATCGGTGCACATGGGAAGAGTGGGCAGCAGGCGGGGCAGGGCAGGCAGAGAGGCAAAGTCGGACGTAGCATCCCGAGACCCTGGAAACCCATGAGCGACACTGACTGAAGCTGAACAGGAAAAAATAAGAAAAAAAGTCAAACACCTGGTATTCAATGCGAGAAGGTTGGTCACTGCAACGGCTGGCAAACTACTGCTTTACCAGTGGTATGCGCGAAGCACCTAAGCTATAAGAGAGTTTGTTGCATTGGTCAGAACAGCTAGAGCTCCTAGTTTGGTGATCAACACACGTGCCCTGCTTCCAACGTAAATCAACCCCACAAGCACATGCCCCTGTCTGTCACCTGCTTCTTGTTGTGTTGGTCCACTGCAAACTGCGCCAGCTGCTGCACCTCCGAGCTGTTGGCCGCACCGTCCACCGCCTTGGGTGCTCCCACCATCGCCATAGGGGGACGCGTCACAGCAGGGGAGACGCCCTGCAGGGACAACGGGAACCAACGGGGGGGACCAACGGGGAGAACTGAGCAACGAGAATAATGTGTGGTGTTATACGGATCGCCGCCGCGCATACGTCCTGCATGGAGGTAGCAGCAGGAGAGCCGAGGTGAGAGATGAGCTGGGCTAAAGCACAGCACAGCACAGCACAGCGCAGCGCAGCACAGCACAGCCCAGCGCAGCGCAGCGCAGCAGCAATCCATGGGTGTTCTTTCTGGTAACGAGGTGATTTGAACCAAACAGGATTGCCTGGGCGATTCAGCCATCTCAACCTTCCTGTCTGCCTCCCTGCCTTTCCAACCCACCGTTCTCCTCTCAACACCAACCCCGCTCCCGACGGGCCTGTTCTGCTACCCCTGCACCACTCTCTTTCATGATTCCCACCACCCCATGACCACTCCCTGCGCCTCATGCTCTTTCTACTAGCCTCACCGCTCCCCCTCTCCCCGTTGCATCCGCCGCCCCCTCTTTCACCTATCCGCTCCTCTGTCCTCGCACTCCCCCTTGCTTCCCCGCGCTCCCCCCTTTCCTTTTCCCCAACTTCTCTCGTTTCCTCGCTCCCTGTCAGCGCCGCTCTTTGTCGCCTCTCTCCTCTCATGCGCAAGAACCGCGATGCGCCGGGAGGGGAGGGAAGGCGGGGCGGGGGAACGGGGAAGGGAAACATGGTTGGGGCAGGGGAGGGAGGAGGCGGGGCTGGGGAGAAAGAGGAAGGGAACGAGAACAAGGGAGAGGCACGCGAAAGGCCGCCGCCGACGTCGGACTTACCACGCCGAGAGGGGTAGGAAGGTAAGAGCACGAATTCGCTTCGAGGTGGCTAATAAATGAACAGAGAAATTACTCACGCCGAGATGGTAGGACGGACACGCGGGAGGCGATAGAGAGGAGTAGCGGCGCGGCAGGAGGCGGTCGACGCGATGCGGGTGGATGGGGCCGAGGAAGGGAGGAAGGCGCGGAGCGCGGGTAAGTGGGGAATAGGAGAGACGATGCGGGTAGGAGGGAGTATCTCAGCTGAGAGGCTTCAACGTGAATGACGACGAAGCGATGTGGTGGTGGGCTTTATGATGAAAGGCTGATTCACAGGGCGCGACAATACTGGGTGTGGCTGGGAGAAGGGGGAGGAGGAAAACACTCAACATCGGGGGACTTGACTAAGGACGCGGTACATTGCGTCCGTTTAGGAATTTCACAGCAAATTTCCCGATTTGCAAATTTTGGCCAAATCGAATCACTCAGTTGAAAACGATTTCACACAATCGAACTTGTACGCGATAGGGGCATGTGACAGATGTGCAGCCTCCGATCTTCAAGATTGATTTGCAGCTCTGCCAACTGCAGCAACGCCGAGTTTTGTCGTAAAAACAGGGCAACCAACAGATGCCTTCGCATATTCCGCACTCCGTCCGGCGCGGGGCATTGTGTTGGCACGCACATTGGTTTTCGCTTGGCGACATTGCGAGGCGATGTAGGTTTTGTGATTTTTGTGAGGGGCGACTTGGTACTTCGTCGTGCTGAATCGGTCGTGTGTCCACCGTGAAATCGATTTCACGCGATTGTGCTTGTCAATCTGGTACGTGCTAAATTCGAGGGCACTGTAGCTTAAAGCAAGGGTCTCAAGAAGCAAAAAGCCAAACCCAAAGGTTTTGGTTTCGCGGGGTCTCAAAAATTGCGAGGTGTGGTAAGGGGTGCTGGTTGGGCGCTTTAACTGTTTCGCCAAGTTCGTCAACCCCCAAACCCAAACCTTTGGATCTGGTTTTCTGCTTCGTAAGACCCTTGCTTTAACGGTAGCCTGCTTTGTACAGTGCGAATTTCACGAAACGATCGTCAAAACGAACGCGATGTTACGCGTCCTAGTCCACCGCGTGTCTCGCAGTAGGTTCTAAAATGTGTGGACCAACTACACCTAACTGCTGCTAATGCTACAATCTGGAACAAGATTGCATATTTCCATGTGAATTAGTTTGAAGTATTATAAGCGTCTCCATGCTTTTGGTCAGCCCAAGCACGGCTACAAAACATTATATAGTATTCCTTAGAATACTACATCATGAAATTTTCTACAAACGGAAAAAGATCTTCCTAAGCGAGCAAGAAAGCAATTATGATATAACATACAACACTATTTAACGAAAGGCAATGCTATCAGAAAGAATAATTGAACTAGAATGTGTGAGTACAAGGGTATATAGACTAGGGTGTTGTACCCTGTTGGAAATATCTCAAGGACTTAAGCGTTTCTGAAGTGTAACATCACACTCGAGGAAGATCGGAACGAGTACGCGAGTCAACGGAGGTTACACGAGGGGGTGGACAAAGAACACGAAAGGACTCGAAGGGTCGCAACCGGAGGTTGCGACTGACCGCTACAACTGCAAGAATGGTAACCGAAGCGACAATCGAGTCGCTGTGCGACTCGATAAACCGCCATTCAACTGTATTCTACAACTGCTTGTTTTCTACTTTCTATATATTGCTGTATGCTTGTTCACTTTAATCAATCACTTGTTCGCATATACTAGTACAAGGGTTCAACTACTCAATTTCCGCTGCACTACTCAAGTCTCATTCTTCAACTGGGACTTAGTCTCTGGAAAGATCCTAAGGGCTTTTCTCAGCCCAACATGGTATGAGAGCTAGTCAGAGACCAAACTCCCAGCAACTACGCTCTATCTACAATCTGCAATTCAAACGAGTTTATTGATTACAAGTCATGGACAGCAAGGGCAAGAAAATCTCTACGGGCTCACCCAGCGCCCAAGACACTCAACCCGACAACTCTGGATTGCACACTTCAGGACTGCTCAAGAAACAACAGGAAGAGCACCGGAAATGGTGACTCCATCACCCTCCTCAAGCGTGGATCCGAACCTTATGGAAAGGTTCTTCAGCTTCATGTCGCACTTCGACCAACAGCAGCAGACAAGGACGCCTGCGCATTCAATACAGAGCAACGGAGGAAACATGGGATTAGCGCCAATGAGCCTCGACAATTCATCGTTCGGGCGACACAATCAAGCGCCTACATTTGCGCCTTATCACTCTTCACCGGGGACATTCGAGTTCATGCCGCCCCGTGCCCAACCAACAGCAGCTGCATCACAACAGACACCAAACGAGATTTTGAGTCTCCGGGCGCAGTTTTCACACGTAATCAAGTTACAGACATCCTCACCGTTCAACGGACACGACTTCTTTACCTGGAGCTTTGAGTTCGAGCTGCTGATGGAGGCTGCGCATCTCTTGGGATACTTCAACGGGTCCCTGCCATTCCCAAGCAACGGCACTGGAAAGGAGCAAGAAATTTTCACGTATCAGTCGCTGCTAGCGTATACAGTTCTCCTACGGAACCTGTCACCACAAGAACAGCAGAGCATTAGAACGTATCGGAGCTATGGAAACTCCGCGGAACTCGCATGGCATCATCTCAAGTGTCTCTATCAAGCAATCGACAGCGTGACACAAAGCAGACTCATGCAACAGCTGACAACAATACAGATGAAGACCGGGGAAAAGGCGATGCATTATATGAGTCGATGCCAAACACTCCGTGACCACCTGCTTCGGTGCGGAGGAACAATCACTGAAGAAAGCTTCGTGACGCTTGTCCTCGCCGGGCTCGGGCCAGAATGGAGAACCACACGCTCGCTTCTTCGCGCCCACGGAAGGATCTCGGAGATGCACCTCTGCGCTGAGCTTCATGCTGAACAACAGGAGATGGACCTGTTCGAAGAAAGACAACCAAGAAAGCAACAGCAGTTAGTTTTTTACACTCAACGAAGGAACGACAACAACTACAATCGACGCGGCAAGCAAGATCAACGCGACAACAGAGGACTCACCATCGTGCCGCCGTTCTGCCACAACTGTCAAACATCCGGACATTCCAAAGTCAACTGCACACGTCCTCATGTCTATCGTCTAGTAGACCCACAAGTCGCCTCCACTCAAGAAAGCCCTCCAAGACGTTCTACCACATCTGCACAAGGGACACCGAACATCATCAACTGCATGGTACACATCGACAACTGCGCACCCGGATCACCACCCACTTACGCGCCAGACGAAGAAGAATTCCCGCCGCCGCGCTCACAAGGACTTCAGGTCAACCCAACATACGCTGCGGTCGGCAACGCCGAACCCACCGGGCGAAATACCTGGTTCTTGGACAGCTGCTGTGGTCAACACATGTGTTCTTCCGGACGCTTCGTGCAACGAGAGCGACGCCTCAACCGCGACGTCATCATCACCGTCGCCAACAACGAGAACCTGAAAACAAACAGACAAGGGGTGGTTCAGTTACAGTCCATGGAAACTAATGTCATCCTTCAACTCAACAAGGTCTTAATCGTTGACAACTTGGGATACAATCTGCTAAGCGTCAGCCAGCTAATGGCAAAAGGAATTCACCTGGAGTGCGACTCGGACTCCAACGAGTTTCGCCTTTACCACGGGAAGGGCGGCCTCTTCATCGGTCGTGCTCTCCTGAGATCCGGCGTCTTCGTGTTGGACTTCGTCCCCGACCGAGGTACTGCCGACAGCGATGGGATCGTGTCGTTCGCCGCCTGGACACACCCGCCGGATCTTGACCCCGACTTCAACCCCGATGGATTCTGGTACTCCAACACCATACCTGCAGCAGAAAGAACACGAGCGTTAGCAGTCATCAGACAAGAAAGACAAGTACCAGCATGTGTTCCTTCCCAACCATCACTGGAAGTAGCAGCAGCAAGATCCAGCCGAGTACCACCACCAGCGATCCGAGGATCGCCAACCGAAGCAGATCAACTTATGCCCATCACACGAGAAGTCTGCCGCAGTCCCGCCACGGTCGTCGCGTTCTTCTCCAACACCGACATATACCCCCGCTCGCCCGGCCATCGCGCTCCCGACGACATCTGGCACCAACGTCTCGGACATCCTGCAAACAGTACCATACTGCAAACCATCCAAGCCGAAGTGTTAGAACAAAACACTCTCCTTACAACGAGCGGCCAAGAACTTCGACGACCACGCGCACGGTGCTTTACGTGCCCCGAAGCCGATCTTCCCCACCAGCCTTTTCCATGTTATCACAACCCAAACGCACCTGCATACGCACCGATGGAAAAAGTCTACAGTGACATTTTAAACATGCCTCGAGAAGATACTGAAGCCGACTTCAACTATGTCATCACGTTTATCGACGCAGCAACAAGATACGTCTGGCACTATAACCTCAAGACGCGCGATCAAGCCTTCGACGCCTTCACGACATGGCTCCCCATCGCCGAACGAGAATCAGGAACCAAGCTCAAGAGCTTCCAGTCAGATGGCGCACTGGAATACCAGTCACAACGATTCAGGAACTACTTGGAGGAAAGAGGAATCAGACGCCTGGTGTCTCTGCCCTACGCTCACCAGCAGCAGGGAGTCGCAGAAAGAATGAACCGGACCTTGCAGACGACGATGCGAAAGCTGCTCCTAGGGATGAGACTGCCCACCACACTGTGGCCAGACGCGATGACACATGCACCTGCACAATCTGTTGTCCTCGTCATCGCTTCCCAACAACGCATCACCGCACCTGCTGTGGACACGAAAAAGGGGCAGCACAAAATTACTTCGAGTTTTCGGCTGCATGGTACAGTACAGACCCCACACAGCCCGAGCAGGACGCTTCACTCAACGAGCTCGGTGGGGACTACACCTCGGCATCGCCAAACATTTTCACGCATGGAAAATCCTAGACATACAAGACAAAACTACCGTGGCATCACGTGATGTTATCTTCTACGAGCGACTGATGCTCCAGCATTACCTGGACAACATTGCCAACACACACGACCCCACCGACGGCCTCGCGGGCCTTCGTTCCTTCGCCGACCGTGCTGCCGAGGCTGACGCAGCAGAAGAAGACGTACCTGGAGCCTCGGAAGCTGCCGGACCACTCCCTTTCTGTTACGTACCTGTTTCACTCGACGAAGACAATCCTCTCGATCGCAACAACCTCGACACCTTTTACCACTTCGCTGACCAAGGTTATGTTACACCCCACCCGGTCGACACGAATGTTTCAGAACGCATCGGCCCAAACTTCTTACCTGATCCAGAAGATGGTGACGAAGCAGCCTATCACGGGAATGAAAATTCCCCTCGACACACACCCACGGGACTACAGATCCTCGGCCTATGGGTCTCCGTCCAGCATCCGCCGCCGCCATCTCCGCGCGAGCCCTCGACTCTGTCGCAGGCTCTGGGGGGGGAACATAAGGCGAAATGGAAGGAGGCGATGGAAAAGGAACTAAAAGCTCTGCAAGACTGAAATACATGGAAGTTGGTACCTGCAACAAACATCAACGGGAAGAACGTCCTCTCGGGAAAGTGGGTGTACCGCATCAAGACCAACGCGGACGGCTCCATCGAACGATTCAAAGCTCGATGGGTCGTACGAGGCTTCGATCAACGATACGGAACCGACTACACAGAAACTTTTGCCCCAGTCTCCCGTCACACCTCCTTGCGCATCCTACTCGCCGTCGCGGCCACGAAGAAACTACCACTGCGCCAAATCGACGTCGCAAATGCTTTCCTGTACGCACCTGTGGACGCCGAGATCTTCATCGAGCAGCCCCACGGATTCATCGACGACCCTACAAAAGTTCGATTACTGCATGCTGCTGATCGGGGAGACACACGTTACCGGATCTGAACACGTCAGCACTCCAGAAACGAAGGGGAGTGTTGGAAATATCTCAAGGACTTAAGCGTTTCTGAAGTGTAACATCACACTCGAGGAAGATCGTAACGAGTACGCGAGTCAACGGAGGTTACATGAGGGGGTGGACAAAGAACGCGAAAGGACTCGAAGGGTCGCAACCGGAGGTTGCGACTGACCGCTACAACTGCAAGAATGGTAACTGAAGCGACAATCGAGTCGCTGTGCGACTCGATAAACCGCCATTCAACTGTATTCTACAACTGCTTGTTTTCTACTTTCTATATATTGCTGTATGCTTGTTCACTTTAATCAATCACTTGTTCTCATATACTAGTACAAGGGTTCAACTACTCAATTTCCGCTGCACTACTCAAGTCTCATTCTTCAACTGGGACTTAGTCTCTGGAAAGATCCTAAGGGCTTTTCTCAGCCCAACATACCCTCTAAGGCACAATCCAGTATAATCTACAGTGACCTAGGTTACATTTGACACACCACCTAGACTATATAGGGGCAGTGCCTAACAGGGAAAGAAGCAGCTCAGGGCGGCACTACTAGTTCAGCCTCTGAGGCAAGGGTCTAAAGACCAGTCAAAGGAGTACAAACAAGACAAGAGCAAGACCAGGGCGGCACTACTAGTCCAGCCACTTGGAGAGGCCACAAGGCCATTTAGGGTAATATATATATATAACGGACAGTACAAAGTCAAGGCACTAGCAAGTGAGAGGCTACAGGAACGAGACCTAGCTGTACACAGTGCCGCTGATGATCTTTAGGCACAAGCGCCTTCGTAAAGATATCAGCTATGTTGGCACCAGAGGCCAAGTGTACTACACGCGCCTGGCGGCGCTGCTGGAGCTCACGCAGGAGGAAATGCCGCAGCTGGATGTGCTTCGCTCTGCCCTCGAATCGAGGCTCTCGACACAGGAGGATCATGGCTCTGTTGTCAGCGTATGGGACCGGGGCAGAGCTAGGCCGCTCACCTAAGTCAGTGAGCAAGAAGGTCAGCCAGCGGAGCTCCTGTGCCGCCATGGCACCGGCGTAGATCTCCGCCTCACAACTAGACTGGGCAACAGACGAGGAGCGGGTAGCTCTCCACGGGACGGCACCTAAACCAAGGCTGAAGAAGTAGCCCTGCGAGGGCCTAACGGTCTTGGCGTCGTCTGCCCAAGAAGCGTCTGTCTGTCCAGTAAGGACCACTGGTCTACGTCCTCCTAGCACTAACCCCATGCCCGATGTACTTGCAAGATAACGCAAAACCCTCTTAGCGGCAGACCAGTGCTGAGGTCGGTGTCTGCCTGTAGCCACAAAGCGAGCCAGGATGCTGAGAGGGTATGCGAGATCTGGGCGAGTACAAGTCATCAGGTACATGAGGCAACCCACCAGCTCTGCGTAAGGACCAGTGGGCTCTGCTGACTCCTCAGGAATTGGAGCGGACAGCATGTGGGCTAGAGGCAGAGGAGTGGGCTGTGCAGTGGAGAACTGAAGGCCGAACCTCTGAAGGACCTGGCGCACCAAGTGTGACTGAGTCAAAGTGATGGTGCACGCTGCTCTGTCCCTGGAGATCTGCAAGCCAAGGTAGTGGCGCAGTTCTCCAAGGTCAGTGCAAGTGTGTCTCTTCATTAGCTCTGCCTTCACGGAGGCCAGTGCGTCCCTGTCTGCTGTGGCGAAGACCAGGCCGTCTATGTAAACAAGGATGTAGAACGGGGTCTGGCCAGCACGAACGAAGAGCGAGGGGTCTGCAGAGGACATAAAGAACTGCAGGTCAACAAGCGTAGCACACAGCGTGTCGTGCCACTCACGGGGAGCCTGCTGCAGGCCGTAGATGGGGCGCCGCAAGAGCCACTGGGTCCCAGGAGGGAAGGTAACAGTGAAGCCCTGAGGGCGGCGCAGGTATACCTGCTCATGTAGACTGCCCTGAAGAAACGCAGCGGAGAAGTCGAGGGAGTGAAACTCGTAGTCACGCTGAGCTGCTACGTGTAGCAGCACCCGAAGAGTAGTTATCTTCGGGGTCGAAGCGAAGGTCTGGAAGAAGTCCACCCCCTCACGCTGACTAAAACCTCTAGCCACATAGCACGCCTTGAACACGGGCGGCTCTCCAGGAGGGCACTTCACCTTGAAAGGCCAGCGGCCATCGATTTCGTTCACCCCAGGTAGGCGAACTACGTCGACGTAGGTGCCGGTGGATCTCCAAGATGCCATCTCCTGCTCCATGGCAGCTATCCACTGAGAGGACCAGGATCCCGAGACTGCCTCAGCATAAGTGCGAGGGGTCGGGATGTCGAAAGCGTCGGGGTCATCCTCGGGGACTAGAAGCATAGAGCAGAGGTGGGGAGCACCCTCGGACAGGAAAGCAAGCTCGTACTGGCAGTCCTCCAGGACGTCACTGCCGAGGGCAGGAGCACCCGCGACAGACAGAGGACAAGCAGGGTCAGAGACCAGAGCGATGGCGTAGTCAAGGCGGCGGGTAGAGGCGAAGTCAGCGACCGCAGCGACAAGGGCGTCAAGGCTCGGAACCGGAATAGACGGGTCGGTAACGAGAGAGGCAAGGACCCGAGGAACAAGAGGACGAGCGCCACGCAGGTAGTCAGACAGAGGGGGGGGGGCAACGACAAGGGAGGACGAAGGGGGCGACGGGAGAAGGGGAGGACGAGACGCGTGGGAACGAAGCAACATAGGGTGAAAGCGCGAGACAGGGGAGGCAGGTCGAGCACGGGAGGGACTGCGAGACCAGACGTGAGACGGAGTAGTCGGGTCAGGGGACAGAGGAGGGGACACAAGAGGGGAACGAGGGGGGAAACGGGCCTGAGACGAGTCCGGAGGAGGGAACACAGGGCCGTAGACAAGAGGCGGTGGTGCCAGAGAAGAGTCGGGTGAGTGAGAGACCGATAGGAGCAAGCAGCATCAACCAGGGGGTCCCAGCCGGGGGAGTCACCGTGTCCAGTGTGAAAAGACCGGACAACGGGTCCTGTGGGAACGTGGACAGGGGGGCACCAATGGCGGCCTCGGTACAGACAGCGTACCGCTCGTGTCCAGGGAACGTAGTGGTGACGCCAAGGTCCTGAAGGCAGCCGACACCAACTAGGTTCCTGGAGAACGAGGGGATGTGCAGTCCTGTAAGCGAGCCCGAAGTAACCGCCGAGCAAGGGAGGGTCGTGGAACTGCGGGCGACTACTGGGCCGGAGGAGGGGTCAGCAAGAGAGACTGCGGCAGGGACAGGAAGCGGTGTCAACGTAGTGGAGTCGCGGAAGAAGCACCGGGAAGCGCCAGAGTCGAGGGTGAAGGAGAGCGCGGCAGTGGCGGCCGGAGGCGAAGTAGCGACGGAAGCACCAAGGCTAAACAAAGCAAGGGATCCTACGCCTGACGTTGCAGGGGAGTCTAAGCAAGGCACACCTACACTACGCAACAAGGGGTAATCAGACGGAAGCATTTTAGAGTCAACAGCATACATCACAGGCAGAGCAGTAACAATCTCATCCATATCCAGATCAAAAATCTGAACCCTACGATGAAGCAAACTGTGCCAGTCTGGGAGCTCGGGCAATGGGCCGAAACGCTGACGAAACAGGTCGTCCAGGCGACGGAAACAGCGGACGGAGGTGTGACCGATCTTACCGCAAACGAAGCCACGACGAGGACCAGTCTCGAGCAGGTACTGACAGCGCGCGTCACCCGAACCACCACTCGGCAGCCCACCACGCGCACCACCACTACGTCTAGCGCTTCCACCAGTGCCAGGCCACCCGGGCGGGAGACCACTCGCCCGTCTCTGCTGCGGTTGCTGCGGCTGATGCGAGTCCGGCTGCAACGCCGGCGGCTGCTGAGACGGCTGCTCGGCTGCACCCTCGTCCGCACCACCACCAGGAGACCCAGCTCCAGCACCACCTACACCTGCACCCCCACACCCGCCACCACGCCCAGCCTTGGGGCAGCGACCCTTCCCCGGACGGACCTGTGGTGCAGCGGCTGTCTCAGCCACAGCAACAGATTCGTCAGAGAAGGTCTGAGCGATAGAGCACTGGCGGGCCTCTATAGCGGACAGGGTGTCAACAAAGTCAGTGAGGGTGAGGTCTGCGGGGTGGACGCTAAGGAAGTGGTCACGGGCAGTGGCAAGACGGTCAGGGAGGCGGGTGGCTAGCAGGTAGAGAGTAGAGGTGAGGGGCGGCTGGTGGGCTAGAAGCCGTGTGGGAGTGCAGGCAGCACGTCAGGTCTCGTCGATAGTGCGCAGGTGAGCGGCCAGGTCGGCGACAGTGGGGAATGACGCAAGGTCAGGGAAGAGCATAGGGAGGATCAGACGACCGGCCGAGGCAGCAGGCGGGGTGGAATAGTGCTGGACAACAGCATCTAGGAAAGCCTGGGCAGTGGTGATAGACTTGAAGCGAGGTCGCTCGGACAGGGGGAGGGCATTGCTAATGGCAAGGTGTGCGACAGCGTCACGCGACAGCTAGACAGAGCGAGCAATGCCAGCGGCCGCAGCGGACTCACGCTCAGCGGACGAGGGGTCAGGAGAGAGTGCAGCGGGGGGGTCAAGGCAGGGGAGAGTACCGTCAAGATGGACAGACAGAAAGTGGCCATCCTGCCGCTGACCAGTGAGGTGGCGACGGAGGTCAGCAAGGCATGCATCAAACTCAATCGGCTGGCCCTCAGTGTCAAAGGGAAGCACCTCCACCATCAGTGACAATAGAGGGCAGTGGAGAGCAGTACAGTGCGGCGCAGTGCGGTACAGTACGGTGTAGTGCGGTGCAGTGCCGTGCGGTGCGGTGCAGTGCGGTACAGTGTGGTGTAGTGCGGTGCAAGGCGGTCTAGTACGGTAACGGGGGGGTTTGTAGGGCAGTGCTGATCAGGAGGAACGGGCCGAACCCGAGGCGGCAGCGGGCTGGCGACGACGCGAATGCAGGAGCCGGCCGGCGGACGGCAGACGCAAGGGGCCAGCAAACGGCGGCAACGGGGCCCGGCGAGGAGCTGGCGCGCCGGCGAGTAGGGCCAGCCACGACAGCGAGGAGACACGGCCGCGACGGCGGCCAGGGACAGCCGCGACGGCGGCTAGGGGCGGCCGCGACGGCAGGAGTGACCGTGAGGCGGCTGGAGATGGCAGCGACAGCAGCTAGGGGCGGCCGCGACGGCGAGGGGGCGGCCGTGGGACAGCAGGAAACGGGCGCTACGGCCAGGGGGGGGAGGGGGGGGGGGGGGGGGGGGGGGGCGGCTAGGGACGAGCGCGACGGCCAGGGGGCCGGCTAGGGACGGGCGCGATGGCCAAGAGGCCACCTAGAGCCAGACGCGACGGCCAGGGGGCCGGCTAGGGACTGGCGCGACGGCCAGGGGGCCGGCTA